TACGATTTACTACGCGTAACTCAACCAACTTGAGCTCAAATTGTACACAGTACATTCGCTTAGCATCGTGCGAAATCGTTTCCTCGTATACACCTGCAATCCGGAGATACAGACTAAAACGTATGACACGATTCTCCATTCTGTTGGCAGCAAACCGAATCCATAACCCGCCTAACTTGAAACAATAGGCAGCTACTATGTATATATGGCTAAACATTATATATATAAGCAAATATATGGTTCACACTGCATGTAGGGTGAAAATTATGGTTGGCCATCATACTCGGAAATAATTATTTTTAATGCGGCAGAACTAATTCAACCGTAGTTAAATTATGGCCATTTTACCCAATCAGAGGCCTTGTTATACACATAATTAAACCATGGATAACTTATTTTTGCCGTGGTTAAATTATGTATAACAAGGCATCTGATTGGGTAAAAGGGCCATAACTTAACCATAGTTGAATTATTTCTACCGTGATAAAAATAATTATTTCTGAGTACGATGGCCAACATTAGAAAATATGCATTCTTGTGAATAGCCATCATTACTAAATAAACTTCTCAGAAACTGCCATTAGTTCCTAATACTGGGTTAGTAAATATAACAAACTGCCTAGATATTATAGGCTATACAAATTGAGCATTATACAAATTTAAAATAAAAGTAAGAGAAAAAATTTAAAAAGATGAAGTTGTACCTAAAACACAAGCACCACAATACATGTGCACTCACCAATGAAATATTGTTCTCTTCTTTTCTATTCCGTTTGTGCATTCTAACAAGACACACCTCTGGGCGTGTTCTCAGGTACACTACAACAGGTTACACATCACTGTAATAGTCTTGACTGATTTAGTTCGCATTGTTTTCCCGGAAAATCGTATTATTACTTATATAGGTTACCTAAACATTTTCAGTCACTGAAGTAGAATTATTGAAACAAACTCACTAGTGCAGTGCCTTTAAAAATAATATGTACATCTGCTGTGAAAGTTAAACACTGTCTTGTCATGAACATTTCTCGATCTACTATAGTATAGATATGTTAAATAGATATAGATATAATATATACAGACTATAGTATTGACGTCTTCATGGATTACACATTCCATGAATGACTTATTGGATAAATGAACTGATCATGGCATAATAGTGTTTCTCACCGATGAGATCCGCATGTACTTCTGTGTTTGCGACCACCCACTGGTACCACTCATCCAGGACCATGTATTCTACGGCAGGCATTTTGCCACTAAAAATAAGCCAGTATCGAGTGTGTGTATTGTGTTTCGAACTAGCTTAGATTATACAGTGCATTTCTTCTGAGCATACAAATTATGATAGACCAGAGACACAGGGGTTTACAGCATCCGGTAAATCTTTTACTAGGAAACCCAGCATATTGAATAAAACTTGTTTCTGTTATTTAAAGCTGGAAACCTTAAGTAGATTCAGTCTAGACACTGCGCTCATCCAGATAGATCTATCAGGAATCTCAGGAATCTGTAATCATGATATAATACAACCGCACCAGTATATAATTGTCACTCAAGGAAAATGCCAAAAGTGTTGAACATTATAGACAAGTGTTCGTTCTCTTAGTTGGGTTGACTGTATAACTGCCATACATGGGCATCGGTTCTATGGAGGAGACTGCTAGTGGAGTAGAGGGGGTCGTTGTCGTATCAGGTACTACAGATATGTACCTGAGGTAGTTTTTAGCTCATCTGACATAGTCAGATGCAGCTTGTAGAATCGCATGATCGTCCGTCTGTCCGTCCGTCCGTCCGTCCGTCCGTCCGTCCGTCCGTCCGTCCGTCCGTCCGTCCGTCCGTCCGTGCGAGCGTCCGTCCGTCCGTCAACAGTTGG